GTCCACACAACCTTCTCTTCTCCAGGCTGAACAGCCCCAACTCTCTCAGCCTGTCCTCATAGGGGAGATGCTCCAGTCCTCTGATCAGCTTTGTGACCTCTTCTGGACCTACTCCAACAGTTCCATGTCCTCCTTATGCTGGGGACACCAGAACTGTGTGCAGCATTCCAGGAGGGTCTCACAAGAGCAGAGCAGAGGAGGAGGAGAATCCCCTCCCTCACCTGCTGCCCACACTCCTTTGGATCCACTGGAAGATGCTTTAAAGAACTGGATGAGCAAGCCCAGAGCCCCCACCCCTCAGCTCCCTGTACCTTCTCATGAATCTCCTGAGTTGACTGTGCGTCACAGAACGCGACTGTGGCCAAGTCCTTCAGAATGGGCATCTCCACTGTGCAGTCCCTGCCGTCCAGCAGTGCCACCAGCGGCCGCGGGTGCATGGGGCCGTTCATGATCTGAGGGCGGATACCTGCAACCAGAGGGAGTGTGGCTGTTACCCCACAGCACCAGCACTACCTGTGTGGGGCTCCTGTGTCACGTGAGCTTCAGCTTGTACACATTCCAGGGGGTGATGGCAATGCGGGGTGAAGTTCAGCACATGGTCTGGGTTTCTCTCTGGGAACAGAGCTGTGATTGTGCCCCAGCTGGAGAGCACACACCACAGGGATGGACAACCCTGTTCCAACCACCTGTGACTTCGTGGGACGTAGCTCCACTGTGCCAACCCTCAGTGACACAGGTCACGTCCCAACCAAACCACACATGCCAGTGCTCCCAGCCTCTTCACTCGTTTCACTGGACACCTCAGGAGTGAAATCCCAGCCAGGAATCACATCTTCCCTGCCTGCAGGGAGGCTGGGATTTTGTTCCACAGACATACACTGGCACTTGGTCTGTTTTTGTAAGGAATGACTTTACCATTTTGACCAACTCAGAAAGAAAAGTCCAAACAGAGAACCCCTGGAAAAAAAAAGGATTACTGGAAAATCATAGGAAGATCAGGACACTGAAGATCTCTCTAGCACAGAGAGTTTACTCTGGTGTATTACCAACTTAGTTCATGACAACTTTCATGGTGGGAACAGCAAAGCTCAGCTTACTTTGTAAACCCAGCGTTCTCCAGGCTGAGGTGAGGAAAGAACTGACCACCACCAAGGGCCACAGTAGGTTGATTCTCACATCCTGTTCATTGCTCTTCTGGGGATTAACTGATTCATTTTTGGACAAGTCACTTAGAAAATTCTACACCTCCCTTTCCCATTCAATAAGAGTGTTTATTCCATTAGGACTCTACAGAAGATCTCAGCTATCTTTTTGCACCCAGAGCACCTGCCAAAAAAATCTTTTGTCCAGATTGCTGTTGGGTGAAGCATTAGTTGATGTGTATGTGGCAGACACAGATGCTCCAGGCCACAGCCATGAACCCCAGACCTGCCCCACCAAGAGCATCACCCTGGTGAGGGACCCTACACTGCTGCACGTGAACCATGGGTCAGCATGGATTTCACATGGGAAAAAGCAACTCCATGGAAACAGGCAGGTTTAATGGAGTGGGTTTAGTGGCTTTTTCATTGAATTAGAGAACTGAAGAACCAACCAACCCAACAGACCTGACCAGAGGTTTCCAGCAGTACACGTGAGTGCTGCTGGAATAGATCCTTCACTCCCTCTCTCCTACCATTACCGGAAGTAATACATTATGTTTGCAGGCATTTCATCCAGATGGGAGTCAAGTGTGTCAGTAGGCAGGGTAGAGCGCCGAGACGATCTGGATAACCGAAAGAAGCTTGTGATAAGCAGATAAGCAAGAATAAAAACATGCACAAATCTCCGAGCGCTTACACAATCCCTCTGGGCAGCACTACACCCCAGCTAGATTATTTGCTCAGGTTAACAAGCAAGTGAATTATAACACTGACTTAAATGCTTACTAATGTGTATGATCTCCAAGGCTTAGAGCATCACCTAGAGCATCACACCACAACTGTAAATAACAAGGAACCTGAGACAGGGTGAAGGTGGCTGTGGTGGGTCCAGCCTTGGTGACCCATCCCCATCCCTGCACCATGCAGCTGTACACATCTGTCTGGACAAAAGCCCACCAGGATCAGACCCAGAGCAGCAGGCACATGGATGCTGGGGGTGTTTTCCTGTGGCACATGGAAGAGGAAACCACAGGTTATGCGAAACTTTGACATTTAATCCAAGCCCCAAAATAACAGTTTTATTATGCTGCCATTACATAAGCTTCTTTGAAAGTCAAACGAAACACAGCTTTGTTTTTTTTTTTGCTTTCTTTTTTTTTTTTTTTTTAAACAGCATCTGTGTCTTTGCTCAGGATTAGGGATGTAATTGTGCATGATGACACAGGCTTCTTAGGCACGTCACCCTCGCCCGCACACAAGAGTGTGGTTGCTGGGGATGAATGCTGGCTGGAACCCGTGAGGTTCTCACAGCCATGGCTCTAGTTTCTCCTACTTCAAGGAGGGAATTTGCTTCAGCTTGACAAGGAAAGTTTTGAAGCAAATCAATAGGAGGTGAAGTGCATAATGTATGGAAATTAGGTTTTAATAAAAACCATTGGCAGGATCGCAGCTCAAACCACACTCTATTTTCCTCTGGTTTGCAGCTCGAACCACACTCTATTTTCCTCTCTTGGTGCCTCTCCATCCTGGTTGCTACCTCCTGCACAAACACATTCAAACCAAGCCATTTGGGGCTGACAAAACCGAGCCCCACTCAGTCTGCTCTGCTTTTACCCCTGCTCCTCCAGCACGATTGTTCTGCAGGCGACTGCCTCATTAACAACGAGGTATGCCACGGATCAGAAAGTAATTAAACAGCCAGACACTCCCCCTGAAATTCTGATAAAACATTGCAGCCATTAACCCTTTCACTCTGCAAAGCACAGGGCTCACTCCACCCAGGGGTACAACGCTGTGCAAGCCACGAGCATCGCCGTCCCCGCGGGCAGGACGTGGGGACCAGCTCTCCTTGGGGCTGGGGTGGGAGCAGCTCTCCCTCCCAACAGCCTCCCAAATCCCATGGCTCTCTCACCATCTGAAGCTGAATTTTGCTGAGAACCCCCTCAGCCCTTCTTGCAAAGTTGGGGCAAGTATTGTCCGATACATTATTTGAGGTGTCTTCAGCTTCCTGCAGAGCGTGGTCAGCATTGCAGGGAGACCTCGCTAAGGAAGAGGGAGACAGCACTGCAAGGAGAGCTTGCTAAGGCAGAGAAGGAAGGGATTATGGAAAAGCAAAAAAAAAAAAAAAAAAAAAAAAAAAAAAAGGAAAAAAAGAAAGGTTCTGAAGCCAAAGAGAACTCCACCCCGCAGGCAGCGCCGCTTGTTGCACGCAGCCCCGCGTATAAAGTGCTTTTGTTTCATTTTTAATACACAAAGCCTGCTTGTCCTTTCCTGCCGCTCCTCCCCTTTGCCACCCACTTGTATCCGATCCCAATGGCACCCCTGCCAAGAGAATTAGGGAGTGCTCCCTGCTCAATGGCAGCCTTTGTGTGACCGCAAGATGCTGGTACTATCTCCCCGAAACAAAAGCAGAAGCCATTTGCCTAATTCTTATTAATCTCACTTGCCTATGCCACGCAGCATTAAAATTATAAAATAAAAAAAGGAGGGGGGGAAAAAAAGGAGGAAAAAAAGGCTTTAAACATGTTCCCTAGCAGTATATAAAAGTGCAGGGAGAAGCGATCCTGCCGCTCGCCACCAAGTAGCTACAGTTTTACAGTCAACTACACACTTTATTAAACAAACAGAAAAGAAACAGGAAATTTCCCCTTGCCTGGAAAATGTTGCCTCCACATTCTTCTTCTTATTAAAAACCACACATGGCAGTGGAGGAGGAGGGAGGGAGGAGGAGGGGGGGAACCCACACACGATAAAATACTACCACTTTGCCGCGCGTCGCCTCTCCTTGCGTCCTACGAGGGGTATCTTCAAACGAGCGATCCTGCGGCCCACAGCTGCAACATCTCAACACAAATGTCTCTTTGAACACGCAGGAATAAGAAAAGGCTTTTGTCCTGAGCCCCAGAAGAATGGTCTGAAATTGCGAGAGGAGTTACAGTCACCTCTGCGCGGCTCCCAACTCTTCAGAGCACTCCCTCCAGACTTCGCCGAAGCTTTTAACTAATCGTAGTTCTTTCCCAGCCCTTGAATAAAATCATGTGAGTGCCAGCCAAAAAATCTTATGCTATGCACACTAAAGGGTTTGTATATGTCACAGTTGCTTTTCCCCCTTCCACTCCCCTCCCTCCTATTGACTTGCACATACGGTGGGTTTTTTTTCGAGTTGTCTCAAACGGATTTAATCTGTGCCACGCTGTGTTTTAGGTTTGTTTGGGTTTTTTTGTGTGGGGGGTTGGTTTTTTTTAACTTAAAAATGAAACGTGCCTTTCCTTGCGGAGTGTGTTGAATGAGGCTCCAGAAACAGGCTGATAGCCTTTAGCTGCAGCACCACGAAAATACACACAAAGCACTGGGGGGAGGCAAGGCTGAGCTGATCTCAGCTGCACCCAGGAACCAAGGGCCAAATTCTTCCTTGATGTGTAAACCAACTGTTTTTCAGCATCAAAAATGACACTCTCTCCTTGGCAGGATCCACATCTTCTTGGAGATGTCCATCTCCTGGTCCTGCCCAGTTTGTCCTAAATAGGTAAAAGGTGCTCTGTGACACTGTCAGAAGGAATGGCCTGAAGTTGTGCCACGGGAGGGTTAGGTTGGATATTAGGAGAAGGTTCTTCCCCCAGAGGTGTTTGGGCACTGGAACAGCTCCTAGGGCAGTGGGCACAGCCCCAAGGCTGACAGAGCAGTTGTTGGAGCAGTTCTTTTTCCCTCTTTCCAGTTGCCACTGTCACTGCCAGTGGCAGCAGCAGCTACAAGACAATCCTCATCCAAGAAATAAGAAAAAAGATCTGCACCTCACTCTTGTTTTATACCATAAGCACTGCATCTCCACGGTGTTCCTCCACCACCACATCATCACCATCCAGCTGGTTCCAACAGCATCATCCCTCCCCTCCATGGACTGTGAGGTCTGAACCACCCAGAGCTGATTCAAGGGAATCACCCAGGAGACATGAGCAGCAATTCCTCAGCACACACAGCCCCTAACAGACAAGGTCCTGCTGACCCTGCCAGGTGCTTCTGGATGCCCAGGAGAGACCTGGAATTGGAGGATGGGGCTGGAATATGGATAACAAAGGTTTATTACCTGAAGCTGATACTGACTTGTAACACAAACATCAAAAGACTTTTCAGTCTCCAAAAAAATCCAGTCAATGAGTGCAGGACAAGGGGATTGAAGCACATCTTTCCCTTGAACATATGCTGCCATTGCCTGAGCACTTCAAATTTTCCACAGATTTGCTGTCCCAGCTGTCACCACTGTATTAAAAGCTGGAATGTCAGAGTCCCAAAGTGCCTGAGGTAGCCCAGGGGCCCCCTCTCCTTGGTGGGTCTGTGCCACCTTCTCCATGTAAACCAGCTCGGATCCTGCTTCAGACATGTTCATCAGGGTTGCTCTTTCTTTCACTTAACTTTTCTTATTAATAAATGCTTTTCATACTAACACATATGCAAAAATTAAGTAAGACACAGTCTTGTCTCACACTTAGGAGAAAACTCCCAAACAAACAGATATTTACTGTTTTTCTAATTGCAATACTCTGAGGCACTTAGTGCAGTGCAGACAGAAGCTACACAAATACGCAGCAGGTTTAGAAAGTGACATCCAATATATTTTTTATAAAGCAAAACATCTTTGAGTCTGCCAGGATCCTACCAGGGAAAGACTGCCAAGTCACAGAATCATATAATCATAGAATCAACCTGGTTGGAAGAGACCTCCAAGATCATCGAGTCCAACCCTAGTGTGGTCACTAGACCATGGCACTAAGTGCCACATCCAGTCTCAGCTTGAAAACCTCCAGGGATGGTGAATCCACCACCTCCCTGGGCAGCACATTCCAATGCCTGAGCACTCTCTGTAAAAAATCTCTTTGGAGGAGACCTGTGTTTGAACTGGTGGGCTCCACGCTCACAGCCAGGGCTGCTGTGGGGAAGGGGCACAATGGCAAAGTGGAGGAGACTTCCAGCCTGCTGGGAAAACCCATAAGTTCATGGCAGTTCCCTCCAGCAAGGGAAACTGCTTCAGAGAAGCTCCTGAGAGATGGGCAAAGAGGCAGCAAGGCCCATCCTGCCCTGAGAGGGGCAGAGTCCCTGCTGGAAAGGAAAACACTCCTACCTGCTGCTGCGAAGAGCCTGTGACCAGCCCTGACCTCTCCAGCATGTTTCCTCCTGTCAGCACAGAGGAGTTGGCCTGTGGCCACTTCCACTTTCAGATAACTTCTCAGGGCTTCCTTGAAGAATGTATTATTTAAGATTAATAGCAAATTCCCACATAGACCAATAGCCTTATTAGCTGATCCAAGCACTGTGGTTACAGTCCCCAGATGAACTACAGACACAGCAGCCATGAAGAAATGCTCAGTTAAAATATACATATACATGGTATTTTCTGACTCTTCTTACAGGAATTCCTGCAGATATACACACCAGAAACACCTCTCCACCTCCTTTTGTGTACCCCCTTTAAAGCACTAGGATACACTGCTGGTGCCACAGGGATGCAGTCCTGGGGCAGGAAAGCCCAGCACAAGTTTCGCAAAATGCTGGAGCACTCTTGTACCAAACAATCTCTGGACTGAACTACATCTCATCCAGGAGCACTGGAGATAAAGCTCCAAAGATGTAAACGGGTGCTAATGCAATAGAAGAGTAATAGAAGAGCAGTAAGTAGCCTCTGCTATGTATGAAAATGTGGGTGTTTGGGTTATTCCCATGCTGCCAGGTTGGTAAATCTGTGTCTAACAACACCAACCTGTGACTTTCCTCCCCAACTCACAGGAGGGTTAACAGGAGCAACTTCAAAAGGAGCTAAGCAAGGTGTTAGGGTGAACCCCCCAACAGCCATGCAAGGTGATGGGAGACAAGGGTGTCACCACCAGGGACCTCAGGACCATCCAGGGACCCTGAGGAAGAAGCAGGAGTGTGGAGCAGGGGATAGATGGATGGGATGGCAAAACCAAGGAGGCAGTAGGAGCTGCCAGGGCACGGGAGAGAGACAGAAGAGCAGATGGGAGAGGCCATATGGGGTGGTGAGGGATGCTACCAAGAAAGCTAAAAGAAGCACCTGGGAGAAAAACTGCTTGCTCAGAGGAGCTCAAGTTATCGCATTCATGGCTTTTTTGGGAAGAGGATGGGAAAAACGGAGAAAAACCCAGTTAGGGTTTGTGTGGTGGTTACGATTCTGACACCATACAGACACTGATACTGTCCCAGTGCCCAGGGCTGAGCTTTGCAGCTCCCATTAAAAAAAACCAAACATGAGAAGGTAGCAAAACCCCCAATAAATTCTCCTTGTGTGTGCTCCATTACCAGTCCCAGTGCTGGAAACCAACTGTATTCCCAGTGCTCAGTGCACAGCTTTCCTGATACTATCCAGCACTCTCTCCTGTGCTGCCACTTCGGCTGCACTATATATCCTTTATTTTTCATGGGCCTGACGTTCACCTCTGAGACACACATTCCAGCCAGACAGCATCATGCAGGAGGGACCACATCCAGCTCTCCTAAGGGTCCCTCCCCATCCTCCTGATCCATTTATCTTTTCCCTTCTATCCAAATGGAAACAAACTACAGCAGTAACAAACAGACGAGCTGCTCCAGGAAATGGACAGCTTTCATTGTTTTGGGTTTTGGCTGTTTTGTTTTTTGGGTTTTTTAAAGGATAAAATAAACCCAAGGAGAAGGATGCTGAGGGTGTGGGGGAAAGCTGCTGATATTGGCCATCTGGGCAGGAGGTTGCTCGGACTTCAAATCACCCCGAGGGATTCAGAGGCTGTAAAGATGTTTTGGAATATGAGACGTAGAAATCAAGGCTGAAGATGAGTCTGTTGACTGGCAGGGACAGCCCTGGCATGGGGACAGCCTGGAATGCCACTGCCTGAGACCCCCCCCAGACCAACCCTGGGGCTGTCCACAAACACCAGCGCTGTGGGGTGCAATTATCACACAGACAGAGCACTGACAGCCCTATGGTTTAGACTGGAAATTTCCTGGGCTAAAAAAAAAAAAGAAAGGTAAACTATCAAAGCAAGCACTTGGATCCAGGTTTGGGAAGTGACAAGGATTCAATCACACCAGCTGTCCCTGTGCCACCAGCACCTCAAACTGGCGTTTGCACGTCGGTAAGGAGTGATCTGAGTGGAACACAAAGAACACACCATGCTGTGAGATACTTAGGAATGAAATTGGGCTGTTAACCACTGACATGAGTCCTGCCTGTTACGCTGGACAGAAAGTGCTGTCAATCTGTTAAGCAACATATACATGGGCCTTTCTCTGAGCTGCTCTGCTTTGCTGCTGGCATAATTCCTGGGATGGACCTGTAGATCCCAGAGGAGGGCTGAGAGGTGTCAGAGGAGAGACAGGACTGCTTTGCTAGGGTGGGAGCCTGGGCAGCCTTTTGGAAGATAAATCCTCATTTCCACACACACCTGTAGCTATTGTCATCTCTAGTCATTCGTTCATAGCCAGAAGGAACAACAACCCACTGATGATCCAGCCCAGGCTTTTCCTCACACTCTTTACATGACCAGAGGAGGGCTGAGAGGTGTCAGAGGAGAGACAGGACTGCTTTGCTAGGGTGGGAGCCTGGGCAGCCTTTTGGAAGATAAATCCTCATTTCCACACACACCTGTAGCTATTGTCATCTCTAGTCATTCGTTCATAGCCAGAAGGAACAACAACCCACTGATGATCCAGCCCAGGCTTTTCCTCACACTCTTTACATGAGGGCAATGTGGGAGCCTCTAGTGAAAGCCTGGTTTGACTGT